AAATTAATTTCAGGATCAATTTAAAATTGCTGTTTACTGATTAGCAATACCAAGGCACCCCTCAAATTGACGCATTCATTTTTCTTAGCTCTCCCTCCTTCCTTCCTTCCTTCTTCCCTTCTTTCTCCCTGACTTTGTTTGGTATCTGGGCAACCAGACCTGACAGACCTACTGACTTACAAGACTTCAACCAAGAGCAAAGGTCCTACGGACCGCTCTGCAGACAATGACGAATAGAACAACATTCACTCAAACTTCATTTTTTGACAAGAATGGCAGTTTTTTGTAGTGGTTGAAACCTGATGGTTGCGAATTGTACGGAGTGGTGGGTTGTAGGGGACGGAGGCTTGTGGCGTGTTTTTTATCACGGGTTAGGGGAAATTCCAGTGGCGGCGTAAGGAATATTTGAGGCATTACATCATCAAGTAAATTTGACGTAGCTGTTGCGTCTTATCATAGTATCCGATCTATCTTCCCCTGGATGTCCGGAATAAAGGGTTATAAACGACGCGCCTATGCTATCAGTGCAAAGCGTTCTACTTACGAGAAGTATTAAAAATGTCCATATTTCCATTTAAAATCGCAAAAAAGTCTATTCAATACGTATTTATTTTTATTTATATATTGAAAACCATCACCATGGAAATCAGGCATTACTGAAAGGCCACTGAGATCAAAATTTTGCTCACACTATTATTCGGATCACATCATTAGCCATAATAGGAATTTCTTTGCCTTTAGAATATTGTTATGATTTGTTTTTCGATTATTGCTTTTAATTTATGTTATACGTTTGCCCATAGCACTCCAATCTGAGAAAGAACGGGGGAGTTGTGGCTTTTGTCCGCAGCAGTCTTTCCTGCTCCAGGGATCTTGCTTTGGAATCAGACCGGAAGGACATTCTGTGGCTTCGCCTCAACTCCAAAACATCACCCAAATTTATTTGCTGCCTTTATTGCTCTCCCTCGAACCATAACTGGGATGACCTACTCGAATACCTCGCTGTCCAGATCGACCTCCTGAACATCAATCACCCCGCTTCAGAGGTAGTTCTTCTCGGTGATTTCAATGCCCATAATGAGCTTTGGTTGGGCTCAAATAAGACCGATGCAGCAGGTCGTGCAGTCGAAGCGTTCGCTCTTACTCAAGGGCTGACCCAGCTGGTCACGAGCCCTACTTTTTTCCCCGTCTCGTCACACGCCAGTAGCCTGCTCTATCTCTTTCTGACCACGCATCCTGTCCCTTACAGCACTGCTGTCCTGTCCGCCCTGGGTAACTCAGATCACGGTGTTGTGGAGGTTAGGTTTCGGTCAGAAGCCGCTGTGGCAGCAGAAACTCGTACAGGCCGCAAAACTTGGCATTATGGACATGCCGACTGGGAGGGGCTCAGAGATTTCTTCTCTAGCTTTCCTTGGAGAGATGTCTGTTTCACTGACGCTGATGCGTCGACTGTCTGTTCTTCGATAACCGAAATTATCCACGTCGGAATGGAGGAATATATCCCTCACAACGTGAAAGTTTCTAAACCAGGGTCCAACGGCTGGTTCAACAAATCGTGTGACACTGCTCGCCAGTAGAAGATCAAGGCACACAGAACCTACTTACAAAACCCCACTGTAGAGAACAGACAAGCCGACGTCGAGTCCAGAAACAAATATAACGAAGCGGTTCGCAATGCCAAAAACCAGCATGATATAAAAGTTAGGCACAGGGTAATGTCGCAGCGCAATGGCAGTCGGTCTTTCTGGACGCTGGCCAAGCAGATTGAAAAGAACTTCTCACACAGTAGCCTTCCACCACTTACGTGTCAGGATGGAACTATTGTATTCGACTCAAAGGCCAAGGCGGAAGTGCTAGCCAAGATCTTTGCTGCCAAATCCACCATGGACGTCCCCACCAACGCCCAAATGTCGTCAATTCAAAGGGTTCCCCACACTATGCGGGAGGTAACATTCAGGCATAAGACCGTAAGACGAGTGCTCTTGTCGCTCGACATCAACAAAGCTTCTGGTCCGGACTGGATTCCTGCCATTGTATTAAAGAGATGTGTAGCGGAGCTTGCTCCAGTTCTTTCGCGTTTCTTCCAGATTCTTATGAATCCGGCACCTTCCCAGAAAACTGGAAATTTGCTCATGTACAGCCCATCCCAAAAAAAGGATCTAAGACCGACCCTTACAACTACAGGCCTATAGCTCTGCTTTCTGTTATAAGTAAAGTGATGGAGAGGTGCATAAATCGCGAGCTTCTGGACTACCTCGAACGTCACAGCTTGATTAGCGACAGGCAGCACGGTTTCCGGCACCAATGATCCACAAGGGACCTCCTAGCTTACGTCACGCAACTGTGGAGTAAACTCATCCAGTCTCATGGTGAGGCTCATGTTGTTGCTCTTGACATCACGAAAGCATTCGATCAGCTGTGGCACGCTGCCCTCTTAAGCAAACTTCCATCCTACGGCCTCCCAGAGAAGCTTTTCAGATGGGTGGCTGACTTTATCTCTGGCCGCTATCCGTCGTAATTGACGGCTTCTCCTCTTCATCCCACAACGTCAACGCGGGTGTTCCCCAGGGATCGGTCTTGGCTCCGACACTGTTTCTCTTACATATCAACGACTTTTTTCCTGCACGATCAACCCAATCCATAGCTTCGCTGATGACAGCACTCTACATGCACTAATTCAGAGTGACAAGCCGATCTCTGCCGCTGAGCTGGTAAAAAGAAGACTAGCGACGACTTCTTCTCTGACAAGAGACCTGGAGGCTATCACTGCTTGGGGACGCAACAATCTTGTACAGTTCAATGCTTCCAAAACACTGTACTGTGCTTTGACGAACAAAAAGCGTCCTAGCGCTCATCCGGTTTCGATGGATGGGCGAGTTCTGCCAAATACCCATTCATTTCGGGTAGTCGGAGTCCAGATCACCGAGGACCTGATCTGGCACGAACACATCTCGTCAATAGCTGCAGCTGCTGGGAAAAAGCTAGGTCATTTGTTTAGGGCTTAGAAGTACTTTTCTCCGCATGACCTTCTCACTCTATATAATGCACAGAGTATTGCTCACACGTTTGGGGTGCTGCCGCCCCGACTACATTATCCATCCTCGATGCTGTCCAGAGGAGGGCGGTCCGACTGATCGATGACTCTTCTTCTGTAACAGACGGTCTCGGAACTCTTTCGCACCGGCGAGGCGTCGGCGATCTAGCTCTTTTCTATCGCTACACCGACGGGCTTTGCTCTTCAGAATTCTCTTCCATGATGTCGCCGCGCGAAGTGTCTGCCAGACAGACCCGCCTGACTTTGGCGTCCCATCCTAACCGTGTCGAACTTGGTACATCCAGAACTGTCCGATACGGCCGCTCATTTGTCCCGATGGTGTCGAGACTGTGGAACAATCTACAAGAGGAGGCTTTTCCCAGTTCTACTAATCTTAGGCAGTTCAAAAATCGGATTAACAAAATTTCTTTGGGATCATTACTCGTATAGCAGCCGTGGAGTTCCCGCATTTAGGCTTCTGCCAGCGCGGCTGCTTCTATATAAAAAAAAAATTAGATGCATGACTGCACCCGAAACCCGAAATAGCAGCGGACTTGAATGTGTGCCGGAGTAAACCTGTAACTATGACTACAATTAAGAGAAGGTGACTCTAAGCTGGACTTAACGTATGCATAGCAGTATCGAAACCACTCCTCAGGACTACTAACAAAAAAAAACTGAATTGGGCCAAACAACATGAAAATTGGGCAGTTGCTGACTGGAAGAAGCTCCTCTGGAGCGATGAATCGAAATTTGAAGTTTTTGGTTCCAAAAGAAGAGTTTCGGTCGCCGTCGGCCTAATGGGAGGGCATAAGAATCATGCACCGTCACTTGCTCTATCTGTACGTACAGCTGAAAACATTGCTGCTGTTGTCCACAGTGTGCCTGAAAACGCAAGAATGTCAACTAGTCACAAAGCACAACAAGTGGGCATCAGACGCACTTCTGTGCGCAGAATATTGCATAACGACCTGGGATTATTTCCTTATACCCTCTCCAGACCCACGCGCGGATCACAGCGTAAAATCGCGGCGCGGATTACGCATATATAAGTAAAACTAAAAGAAGTGGATAAAACCCAACCACTCCCGGCACTCGCTATGAATGAAGCAACTGAGCCACCAGCGAATGAGGAGCCTAGTCATATTCGCGATATGTTCGCACCTTGCGAACCCTTTGTCGCGGGACAAAAAACCGATAACCAACGGGAACAACGCGCAGACGCGACATGAAGCCGCGAAGAATACGCAAATGGGATCTACAGTCATGGACCACGTGTAGTTCGCATGATATTCGCGCGTCAGTCTGGAGAGGGAATTTTACCAGGTGCAACCTGCGCTAGAGTTGAAACAAAATGACCTTCTGCTTCGATATCGTTTCTCTGTATGGGCTCTAAATCAATTGGAAGTGGACGTCAATTTTGGTCGCCAAATCATCTTTTTGGCCGAACCCCATTTCCATCTGGGAGGTTACGTTAACAAGCAGAACTGTAGCATTTGGGGTTCTGGAAGCCGTCATAAGAAACGCCAATGCATCCAAAAATAGCTACTATTTGGTGTGGCTTTTGGAGTGGTGGGATTATTGGTACCTACTTTTTTCAACAGCGTGACGGTAAACCGGGAACGCTGTAGAGACATGTTGAGGAGTTTTTGTGTCCACTATTAGACGACATGCACTTGCACAATCTCTGGTTCCATTAAGATGGCGCAACATGCCGCACCAGCCGTGAAACAATCGATCTTTTACACACTAAGCTCGGTCATCGGAGACGTTGATTGGCCAGCCCGCAGGTGTGATTTGAAGCCCATGGATTACTTCCTATGGAGTACTGTTAAGGACCGCTGTTAGACTAACGATCCTCAAACAATTGATGTTATTAAGGAAAATATCCCTCGAGAAATAGACACACAAACTATCGAAAATGTGCTTCAAAATTGGGTTAAGAGGATGGACTACTGCCAGGCCAGCCGAGGCAGCCATTTAACTGAAATTGGCTTTGATAAATAATCTGAGGGTGTATTCTTTTGAATAAAGTATCGAGTGTTACATATTATTGAAAAGTATAGTTTTAATACCAACTTAAAAAAGAAACCAACGGATGGCCCACCCTTACATTTTATCCAAAATGAATAACGTGTGAGTGACACAAACCATGCCCCATAGGCTTATAAATATGTGTGGTTTAGTGAATATATCGATCACATACAAGGGTTAAGGGATTCCAGCATTATTTATATTATCCTATCATCCATCTGACGAACAGGTAAGATACATTAGTCACTAGAATGCCTACGTTGTACTCACGAGCTAAAACGAGAAGGAAGGACACCGCTCTATACTAATTGTTACTGAATTATGGATTTTGGTTAGTACTAATTCAAAACTTGACTGTGTATTGTGCTATATTTGATCACTTTCAGATTCTCTAATGGCCTAATGGTGAGGTAATGTGTATAATTAATAATATTATATTATATTTAAGAATAATCTAATCCTAAACAATATTTTCACTCATTTCTATGTTTAATTAATATCTTCTCTAGCTGCTGGATTCCTTGGGATCGGAGAAGATCGGTTTATCTGTTGGTCCTTCGATTACTATTCCCTTTGATCCAAATGTTCTTCTAAGGAATGGTCTCATAGATTCCAACAAACGTTGTGTTCTAACAGCAGAGTTCTGGAAAACGCAAAAAGATGAAGGAGCTTATAATAATAATAGTAATAATAATAAAACAAATTACGAGGAAAAGCCACATGGATAGCCTAACTTGAACCGAGTCCTTGTTAGATAATGACACTGCCACCTATGAATAGTTCGCACCATCGACCAAGGTTATTCACCAAATAGGCGTCCCATCGTCACTCAGGTGAAGACTAAGTACATAAGCGTTAACGTACCATAACCATCCATATACAACATTGTTTCATACTTCTTAGCGATCATTAGTACGGTATAGTGGTAGGTCTCGTCATTTGGAGACAGATGACGGAACAAGAACAAGCGAATATCAATCTACTGAAAAGCTCAATATTATAGTATGCAAAGGTGACTGTCATATTTGAGAAGTTGCTGATGACTGCTGAGAAGCATACAACGATGTTGTATACCATCGCTTATGGTCACAGAGATGAAAATCAAAGACATTCTGCCCAGCTTGTGTTCAGTTTATGCAACTTTTCCGTTGTACGTCAATGCTGGCAGCATGCTGAGTAGTTAGTAATCCCCTAAGGGATGATGAGACGCTTTTGTGGTGGATAACCTTGTCCATATTCTTGGAACTTGGAGAGACTCGGTCATTTGGAGGTGCGATAAACTGCGCTTTCCTGCTTTCATAAGTAGGGTAGTACCGCGATTAGGTAGCAGTCTCACCATTATTTATTACGCGCTACAATACTGAGTTTTTCATTAGACCGTCACATGTCTCCAAATAACTGAACCTATACCGTACTGATGAGGAATATTACGTAATTTCATTGTCAACAAGCTTCTTATCCATATCTGTATTAAATATTCCTTTGAATCGGGTGGTACCTTTTATCAGGTCCATTATCGTTTTTGACTTTAATTGTATGCTATTATTGAATATTGAATACCACCATAGACAGTCTCAGACTGTCTAACGTGGAAGTACCACCCAGGGGATCTCTTAGTCTGGATCAGAATGTGTGCATCCTGTAGGTATCCCTCAATAGCCCCACGATTGCCATGGGTATTCAGGCCTGAGGCCTTGGTGGTGATTCAACTAACTATGTAAAAAAAGTTAGCACGCTAAGGGAGAAGAGGGTGTGGGGGAGAACGTGTCCTTCCTGCAATGAGAGGTAGTTGGTATCAGATTGCGCAAGGACTAAAAGCTTAAGCTTAAAATTAGCATTATTTTTTAGTTACGTTAAAATGATCACGCGATGAGGAATATACATGCCAAGAGCCAGCTAGTCGTACTCAAACACAGTACATCGTGAACGGGAAGAGTGACCTGGAGCTAGAGGATCTAGCTAGACATCCTTCTCTTATGGTAGCGAAAGAGTGAATCCCTTAATTTGAGTTCATCCATCATTTACCAATCCTCTTATTTTTAGATATTGACACATATTAGGGAGTTCTCGACTTACTAAACAACTTATGTGTGTGTATCATGGTGTATGATTAGGCGCTTATGCACACGAGACACACGCATCGGCCATGAAAGAATGCGTGTGTCTCGTGTCAATGTAACCGTACTAACCGTTATGAAATCTCCGACTGTAGTAGACAGGTTTGTGATTAGGTTGAAAGAAGATCCGAACAGCCTATCAGGAATGTCTAGAGACACCTTGCCGCCAGGTTCAAAGATGACCGCGTCTTCAGTCGTGGTTGGTCCTTTTGGTTTGTGCGTGGTTAGTTTCTCGACCTCCCACGCGAACCCTTGTAAGATAGATGGTTCATTGATTGCTCGCTTCGTACGCTCCTGTAACAAAAATTAAGCAGTAGGGATGCGTCTACAACAAACTCAGTCAATTATACTGGAGAGCTAACAAGAACGTGATTTGAAGATAAACCTAGTAGGCCTGCGCCCAACAGATCCTTCCAATGCGCGAACTCCATGGTTCCAATTCTCCTCTTGGAGCCGGTTCCTTTAGTTTATTCAAAATTCTTCTATGGATCGGCACTGCAATAGGAATCGATTATCGATTTGGATAGTCTCGATTTCTCTATTCGCACCCATATTTATCTTGAAAAGTGACATTATGTCGATTTTTTTTAACATTATATTGTTTTTTGTGACATTACGTGGCTTTTTCACAAGATGTTAACTTAGCACTAGCTGATGGACACTTGTTGTGAACACGTTTTGGAGTTATACGTCTTGCCTAAACGTCGTGATGCTTCAGTTATAATATTTGGCTCTGATGTGATGAAAAATCTGCTTCAGCGATGACATTATTGGAGGTCTAAGCTGTAAGTTGTCATTTAAATTTGATAGAAATTTATTTCTCGATATCAATAGAAAATACAAATTCAGCGCTTAGATGTGAGGCATTGCGAAAACGTTTGATGTGTGATGTTTCATTCCTAATTTTTCTCTGATGCGACTTAATTACACACAACGCATCCAAATGCGATATTGCTATTCGACCAACTTTCTTTCTTTCACATCTTCTCAGAGATAAACACTACAGACTACTCGGCTTCACAAAACATATACTTGCCCTCTGCAACCAACAATCCGTGTAGTCGAGTCATTCTTCCATAGATGGACGCTCACAGCGATCATAGCACGCAAACGTGGAATGAAGTATTTGCACCGTAAAAACTACCTAGTCTGCAAGATGACATTTCGTTGTTTTTTTACCTTTTTATAGGCCGTTCTCGGTGACATTATTAAGGTTCTTTGAAATTGTAGGCTTTTTTATAAAATGTCACATTTGAACTAGCTGACACTCACTTCATGCTCACTTGTAGTGGAAGCGGAATAAATTAGCGGCTACCTGGTGCAAAAGTTGACATTTTACAGATTTTTACTTCGTCCGCCACTTTGAGTACTCTTGGAGCTCTGGTGTAACACTGCCTGTCACCAATGTTTGATAATTGATTGTAATAGCTCTTGATAAATTATTAAATTATATCACGTTGCGGCATCATATAACATCATTGGATTACGCTCCAAGCTAACTCTCATATACACCTATGTCAGAATCCTCTGAAGTCTAACAACGAGGCTCCAGCACCTACCAAGTAATAGGCGGACCAAAGATTAGCAGGCAGACCGACGGACCGGCAGAAACGAGTTATATGGTTTCTAATGATGTACATGTCATATCCAAAAAGCACAATATCCAATTTTCAAATTTTTTTGCATCTTCAACACTATCGCGCTGGTAGATGCGGAAAGTAAAAAAATGACACAATCAGTCAAGTTGTTTTTACAGAAGGTCTCATATTTGTTGTACGTTCAGATATACCTTCCAAAGGAGTAATATTAATATACTAAGTGACATATAAATCCGAACACCCAGTTTAAATGGTTTTATTTTAATAAAAGTTGGTGAATGTATTTATCTTACTGTAAATAACAAGTGAAAAAATATTCAGCCTTATCAGTTGGACATTCCGGTTTTTATACTGCTTTTTTTTAATTCACTAACGCTCTAAAAATGAATATTTCAGCCGCAGTAAAGAATCAACGTTGGCGGATTTTGGTTCTTGACATCCTTTACGATCGGTTACGATGCCTAGAGTACGGAGACCTGTACGATATCGTCAACTTAGTGAGTTTGATAGGGGCCGTATAGTGGGACTTCGGGAAGCTGGACTTTCTTTTCGGGCAATTGCAGTTACAGTGCAAAGAAGTGTAGACACTGTGGTTAGGTGTTGTCAGGCATGGCTTCGAGAAGGCCGTACGCAAAGAGCAAGGGGCACTGGGCGCCGCCGTAGAACAACAGACCGTGAAGATCGCCGCCTAAGATTATTGGCCTTAAGGGACCGTTTCTCCACTACCAGGTCCATTGCAAATGAATGGTTTGCAGAACACGGAAGACCTATTGGCATGCAAAGTGTTTACCGACGAATGAGAAGTTTTGGCTTGTTTTCATACCGGCCACACTGGGTCCTTTCTTTAACTCGAGAACACCGACGTAATCGCCTTGAGTGGTGCAGACAACGGTCACTCTGGGATCAGAAATGGAACAGTATTGTCTTTAGTGACGAGTCTCGATTTGGTTTAGGCATGCACGATGGTCGTGCCAGGGTTAGAAGGCGACGTGGTGAAAGGAGGAATCCACAGTTTTTTGTTGAAAGACATGTTCATCACACTGTTGGAGACATGGTTTGGGGTGCTATAGCTTATGGTTCCAGGTCACGTTTAATCTTCATCAGAGGTAACATGAACGTGCAGCGTTATATCCACGAAGTTCTAGAACCCCATCTTTTACCCTATCTTGACACCCTGGCAGATCCAACTTTCCAACAAGATAGAGATTTCTCAATTTGCAACGTCCTCCTCAGACTCTAGAAGCACTTCGAGAGGAGTTGGTGGTTGCCTGGAATGAGATACCACAGGAGGACATTGACCACCTGATCAGAAGCATGCCTAGGCGCGATGGAGAATGCGTAGCACATCAGGGTGCATCCACACATTATTAAAGGTCGAAGGGCTTTAAAGCAGTGCAATCATTTTGAAATTTTTATCATTTACTTATTATGCTTCATTAAGTACTTATACAAAATTTTATTAAAATAAAACCATTTAAACTGGGTGTTCGGATTTATATGTCAATTAGTATATAACAAACTTTAACATTTTACTGATTAGTTGGTGAGTCAGGTGAGTCACAAGCGATTCAGTATACAAAAAACGCTCTATTTTGAAGGATAGTGTTCTCGGGCCATGAAGCACTCATCAGGAGCTCAAAACAAGGTACCACATGATACTCAACCCATTGAGGAAAATTTTCAACTGTCATTTTTCGGTTAAGGTATATATTTCATGCGTCTATTTTATCATCTCGAATTTGGGTTCCTAACTGAGCCTGTTCAAAAGTATAGTGGAATGTAGCCCTTCTGTATACGCACCAGATCTGTGCATGCAAGTTGTTTAATAAATAATCAGTTGCCAGTAAATAAGCGTATGGCGTACTGCAGTGCGGGTACAAGAAGGTCGGCAAAAAGGGTCGAAGGTGACCTAGTTGCCAGGCTTTGTCTCCCCACCACTACCACTACTAAAAATACCTCTTCGACCACTTCTTCAACTACAAAAATGGCATTTAAATAACGTACAAAGCAAAATAATACAGAGGTTAGCTATTAGCATTTAAATATTTAATGTGGTACCTACCACATGCCTGTTCTATCTCATGTGATCTAAAACTGGAGACGATTTGGAATGGAGCTATAGCAAGACAAGTCGGTCTAGCAGCCTAGCTGCTCCATATCAAAGAGCAGTTATATAAAAATAAGGCAGTTGGCCAAGGGGAATAAAATTAGATAGAGATAAGAGATGGCTCCAAAGACACAAAACAGCTGATAGCGTGCAGACACTGCTGTTCTCATTTAGTCGAGTATAAGTTCATTGTTGCCATTGTTGACCATCACTTGGGGTGAGCGCCTTTTTGGTTCAAATTTACATTTACAGTTATCGTCCAATTGCAACATAAAACGTATATTTTTCACTGAACAAAGTTATAAATCACACTATCCGCGAGAGAAGCTGTTCTCAATACCTGTAAATCATCACACAACTATTGAACGTAGAATACTACACGACTTAGTCTAGTGATAACAGATGTACGTCAGCTTGAAATTCAAAAGCTTCATAACCTCAAATTGCTTATTTGACCAATCGTCTATCTGACATGGTCGTGAGCTCTCTAGACAGCCTAGCCTGGCGATATCTTTATTTATTTCGCATGACTTTTTGACGTAATCAACAAAAACCGTGAAAAGAGCCGAACTTCCATTCTGCTTTGTATAAATGTAGCGTTTTGTAAACATTTTATGACAGCTTTGCAACACCGCCTCGGTACCCTGTGTTTTTATTTGCAAATCAGTAATAGTCCAAGAGTTTTGGTTAGATCCCGTAATGATTTGATTAAATTTCACGTATTTTGATGCTAAAGAGCAAACGCGGTAACAGTAATGGTGCAACAAACAATTTACGACTGGCTTCTCTACTATAACGCATTATGAGTCTCAAGATCAAAGGGGCTGACCCCGGCGGATTATAAAAACATTCCACGAAGTATCTTGATAACGGTATGTGGCAAATGGGTCCCGCCCGATGAAAATTTCATCACACACACACATCTTCCCTTGATATAACTATCCTTTTTCGCACTCTCCTCGGGACTGTATTTGGTACTCATGCTGTATAGTAGAAGCAGCCATTTCAATTCCAAACCGGATCTATTTATTTATTTATTTACTCATGTTTGGGGTGCAACAGAATGTGAATTCCAAAGACAGCACCCGCTGCTAAACTATAGTGATAAAATAAAAAGATACATAGATCACAAAATACAGAAGATGAAAATCTGTAACACAAGCCTACTATATGAGAATAAACAATACTATGATATAGCAACTACTATAAAACGATATAAATTTAAAATTTAATTTTTTTAAAAATTAGCATGTATCAGTTACACTATTCCACGAATCGCACTAGTCACCAAAAAACACAAACACAGAGCACGTTACTAGACAGCTTTGATAACAAAACATATAACATACTATATAAAAGTATATAAAAGTATTAATGGTTGACAAACAGTATCACAGCAAACAAACAATTAGATAGTATGATACTATCCTATGTAAGCTGCCTCCTTACCGTTGCTTTAAACTTGTTAAAATTAACCACAAAAATGTCCAAATTTATAGAGGTATCGTTAAACACCCTCTGGGCCCTAATTACAGGTGAGTTGATTCCTAAATTCGTTCTACAGAAGGGAATCCTGAAAAACTTGGAATGGCGGTAGTTTCTATCTGGCACATTAATATTTATTTTTGAAAGCAAATAGGGACAGTCAAAATTGTTGAATATTTTGTATATAAGACACACTTCGGACATCATTCTTCTACTTTTTAAGGTCATGATATAAGAAATGTTGTCTAATATGATCATAGTTTCCGTCACGTACCGGATTGCCGATTTTAAAACTTAATCTCTTCAGGAATCTATTTTGTACACTTTCAATTCGATTTATGTATGTAATATACTGAGGGTTCCATATAACGGAAGCAAAGGTCAACTTGTTATAAATATATGCATAATATAGGGATGTCATGGCTCTTGAACTCTTGAAATCCCTGCAGATTCTACAGATAAATCCCAACATTTTGTTTGATTCGCAAATCAAGTTTTCTATGTGTGGTTGGAAAGTCAGTTTTGCATCTAGGAGGAATCCTAGGTCCTTCACTATATCCGTTTCCTAAGTCTAATAAAAGTACATTTATTAGCATTTAGAAACAAATCATTATTGTCACCAAAATTGACAAAAGTATAGATACTTTGGATTTCTTTACAGTCATTAATGTCTCTCACTGTATGGAATATTTTCAAGTCATCGGGGTATAGTAGACAATTTGCATATTAAAGGATTTCTTTAAGTTGCTGATAAGAATTATAAATAATAAAGGACCTAGATGACTTCCTTGTGGGACGCCAGACGTAACCGTAACTGGCATTCGACTTGAAACCGCAAGCCTTTCAACCAGCAATTCATGATTTATTTTATCAAAAGCCTTGCTGAAGTCGGTATATACGCAATCGACTTGAGTCTTGCTATCTAGGGCTTCACAAATGTTGTTATGAAGTTCTATACAATAAGGAGGTGGCTGGTGGGAAAGACATGCGAAATGTTTATTCTGTATTTTGCCTTCAACAATCCCAACACGCACAGGCCTAAATGAATTTTTTCTGATACTTGATAGCTTCCTTGAAAAATTGATTTTTCGTGATGAAATGTTTGAATAATGGTCCAAGACTAATGTGAATATTTTAACAGGCGTAAGTTACTAACAAAGAAGTACTAGCGTTCCACAGCTTACCTTGCCTCTAACCTTTAAAGGATGCACAGGCACTCATACCTCTCGTGATCTTTACTTGCAAATAAGTCATAATGCCAGATCAAATGTTCCTAGTATCCGACGTCAAGCATACAGACACACTCTCCAATCTTCCAGCTAAGTGATACATGCGCAAACAATTTTCGGCTAATTTTGCTTGTGTCAAGCAGTTGGCGGAACGTGTCATACACACTACATCTTATAGGATGATGTAAGACCATGCAAGCAAAACATAGGATTAGCATTTTTTTATACCAACCTTTACAGACCAAGCTGACTTGTACCTCACTGCCAATCTATCTGCCTTTGGCTGTAGATTGTCATATGAAATGCCCATGTGTAGTGTTTTTTCCTATGTATACTTTCATTTTTGTATCACACGACATACTCGACACGTAGCATTTTCTTATTGCAAACCAAAGTCATTCAACGTTAGAAACATAAAACGCATTATAATGAGACAAAACAAGCTTGGTGGAATAATTTAGCTAGTTGTTACTGCTTTTTTTTTCAATTGATATAATATAAATTCTGTTTCCAATTTGTCCTTGATATGCTTTTACCACGTTATACGTGAGATATAATTGTGTCAAGCAAAGACTATTTGTCTCTTAGGTATGTGCATATATCAAAGCGCAATGGTTAATGCCCAACTCGAACGACTATGGACCCATGGATTATTTTCAATCATTTATCGTGAACCCGCACACCTAGATATTGATCTTATATTTTGCTAACTTTTTTCAACACCTACACACTCAGCAATTCGATCCGGTAACAAAGATTAGTACATTTTAGGTGGTTTGTAGTCTCAAGTACGTTCTTACAAGTTGGCTGTGTTGGAATACAAGATTTACATTTCATCTTAATATAGAATGATGTTCTTAACGCTATAGTAGCATTTATGGCAATATTTTTCTCTCTTATTCATACTATCATATTACTACTTTGTCTAAAAGATATTTAACGATATGTAAGTCAACCGAAACTTGTTACTTTGTCAATCTTTGAATTACAGCAATCTCTGCAGTCCAGTGATATTTAAGTCCGAAGATGATGCCAAATTTTTGGCAAACCATTTTATTGACTTCGTTAAGTATGGATTAAATTTATAAATCAAATATTGGCCATCCTCTAAAAAAGGATAAAATTTGATTTATTTCAAATCCGTATGTTCAATGGCTTTTCGAGGACAGCTTCACTAGCTTGACCTTGTGAGGCAACATTTTAGTTAGTAGGTTAGTGTTAAAGCAAAATACGAAGAACAATAAAATTATTTATTACAATACATATAATTTACAAAAAAAAAATGTTACAAAAGCGTACAGAAGTTATTTACAAGTGTTAATTAACACTAAACCAACTGCAAAGATGATCTGTACAAATGGCAGTAACCTAGTAGAAATAACACAAAAATCTAGTTACATAATGTCTTTAATCCAAATAAAATAATTGGATGTTCTTCTTGTATCCTACACACGGAAATAAATATAAATACATATTATGAAAATTGCAATAAAAAAGGTTTATAAAACATTTACCAGGTTGTTTTTTATTATCTCACATGGAATGACCGTACATGCTACATGCAGATTACAACAAATACAAATAGGTTATAGCTGTCATGGTGAAAGTAAATGGGCGCCAATAATGAATTACTTAATATGTACAGGGTGTAATATAATTTGCGGTCAGTGAAATGCCTTGAAATTTGAGATAATTTAGACGATTTATTGCCCAAACAATGGTACAAAATACTTGGGTGCAGACATACAAGTCTAACGTTGTATACCTTCAATTTTTTTAATCCCTACTGAAAACTGCTAGAAATCTCTAAAATGTAATCAAATCACGTTGGATCAATAAATCAATCAAAATGATACCTCACATACTTTTGTAGACGTCCTGACCTTAGCCTGAATCTTGAGTCGGTGATTGTTATTCGTTACTGATGAATACTTACAAAAAGCTCTTAGTAATGTTTCAGTTGTCAGGCATGGTCTTAAAAACTAAGGAAAGGAGAATGTCAGATGAAAATTTAGCGAAGCATGAGTTTTGTATGGTACCAATGTTTACGTCATATTAAAATAAACTTGATGAGTATTAATCATTGACTAGATTTACACTTGAATGATATTGTTCCACCCCCCAATGAAATGGAACGATAGCGCTGTAGCTCCTTACATCAGCATCTTTAAAATGGACAAGAAGATTAAGCGCAACAACACGGTCGTTCCCTAAGTGCGTGAATGAATAAGTTACTGAATGTCAACCGGACTACGTCATTGAATTTGCTAATATTTGATTAATGATGAATAACTCACAAGAAGTATATTTTCTGAAACTTTTTCCATCGTCACCATTACGTTAATCAATTCTGTAATTGTTTTTTTTTCTCAACCCTGAAACCATAAAAATAATACGAAATGAACTTAGAGATGAATAAGTTGCGAGAAGCAATAGAAGTCCGTCATTTATTGTTCATTACTATGAGGTCCAGCAAATGATCCTAGCGATGAAACATATGATTATAATAAAAGTTTTCCTTTTTTTATTACTATTAAGTATTATGCGTTATAATCTGCAGTGCACAATGGGCAAGAACGTTATTCTTAACATTTGAGGAAAGCTCTTCTATGGAATTTATCTTACATTGTAACTAACAACGTAGCATGTACTACAGACATGCTTTTGCTTTCCTACCTGGTCAAACTCAACAAATCGGTGTTGTCAAGGTTTGTAGGTTTAGGTGGATATGCGTTTTTCTTGCAATAAGTATCTTTTTGGGATTCTGGATATATCAAATTAATGATTTTTAGCAAATAGTAAATATCTTAAATATATTGAGCAATTACTGATTACGAGGTGTGCTGTTTTGAAAATCGAATTCGTACACTTTATATTATGGTGCGTGATAATATAATGTATAATCAATGAATATGCATAATCATAGATTTTCCAGTCACCTTAACTTTTTTTTAAAATAGAACGCAAGCAAAAGCTGAATATACGTATAAAGAATGACGCTTAAGTATATAGCAAGCAAATCTCAGAAAAATCCTAATTTAAATAATATTACTTCAAATACTCCATGGTAGTGCAACATGGAGACAAAATTACATCGCCTTCATCTTTGTGTCCTCTTCAGATTATTGGCAGTGCAGTTCTCTAAAACTATTTCGTATAAAATGATCTAAGTTGTCTTAAATTACTTTCACTACTAAGAATAAAATAACATTTTAAGTATAGTTGATATCGATTTTTTTTATTTTTTTCCAATTTTTTTAAATAAAAAATAACATACCTAATATGATGATATAGTTGATGGTCCAGTCATTTTGACATATCCAGAACCTCTAAGAACGTAAAAGCTGAGACAGGATTGAAAACTAAATCAAAATGTGTTTATTGTTCAATATTTGTCAAGATGTTTGAGGAAATGAAAGTAAAAATGCTGTGATTTCTTTTAGGCTGAATTTGTAACTTTCAATCTTAATATACTATGTCTTCAGATTACTTTTTTTACGTTTTTCTATGTCCAAGTTTTTTCTTGAAGCATTTCTTAAGCATTTGTGACTAATGCAATTCGTTACTAAGGAACATTTTATAGCCACTGGGAGCATTTTTCAAAGAAGGTTTCTAGAGACGCAACTCATAATCCAGAAGATAGAGTCTTAAAAATCTCCAAGAAATGCAATATTCACACCTAATACCGAATGCTAACATTTATCATCGAAAATGTTCTTTAACATTTTACGCATTTTTTTATATTTTTTATATCTCGTGTACAGTGCATAGTAGAGTAGAGTAGTTGATTGTTTTCTGAAAAGGTCTTTTGACATCTGTCATTTGCACTCGCCAAAAGTGACACATCGCTTTTTTACACCACTCAATGTGTGTGCACCTGTAGAAACTGATACTGTTGTCGCTTGCTTGAGTTTAAGCCGATCATAATCGATAGCTTCAACTCCGGTAAGAACGGTATATGATGATATAATTAAAAACGATCAAACTGTCTCAGCTTACACAAATACCTCAACGCCTATCCACCAAACATCTCACCCTCAAAACCCACATGTCAACAATTACAAAATATCTATATGGCATGGCCATGCGCCGTTGGGTCATAGTGGTTGTCCTCATGGCCACCGTTGTGTCCGTGTCCGCCACCCGAGCTACCATGACCACTGGCCGAGAACCCTTTGCTGATCAGACCTCCGACGAGGTCGAACCCTTTGTGTCCGCTTCCGTGGTGGTCGTCGTGACCTCCGTGACTGAAACTGCCGAATTTGCTTGTGACCAGGTTAAGCAAGGGCCCGACGGATTGCAGTTTGGAACCGATGGCGTCCGTGATGACGTGCGACAGGCTGACCACTGGGTCCTTGGGTGGGAAAATGTGAGCAGCCTTGTTCTTTTCGATGTTGGTGTGGTCCAGTTGGTCCACCCATGCGGTTTTCTGGTCGATGAACGAGTTTATTTTCTGTGGAAGGCAGGGGTTAGAGACACGTCGGTTATTTATATGATCCTATTGTATTAGTGGTTGGAGGGTAGAAAGTACAAAGGAAGAATTACCCAATGTCTTTGTGTATCTGTTAGGTTAAAGGATGTCTCAGTATTTACATAAGCTTTGAATTGAATAAAAACACATATTTTATATTATTATGGGAGCATATCAGACAAATGGACTACTCTGCTTTTCTGGCTCTCTTGTCGAAACTTTTCGTGTCAATTCAGGTCCACTTTGTATAAATATGGCAAAACCCCAAAGCAGAATATCGACCACCTTATCAGCACGAGGCCCAGGCGTGTCAATGAGTGTATAAGAAATCGTGGATCCTCAACACATTATTGAACCAGCTTCTGCAGTCAGTTGATGAATCAAGCTGCAAATTTAATTGTTTTACTAGTAAGGGACACTGAACATATGTGACAAAAATTATTAAAATCGGATAAACATACGTAGGTGTTTACCTTTTTTTGTCACTGAGTATATTCGATACATAACTGACCCCAACCGGTATACTTGATATTTCAATAAAAAAATAGCAATCTAAAGAATTTTGAGACATCCTTTATATAAATTTAGGTTGCAGGTATATTTGCATAAACATTTTTTTTTCTAAAGGGGTAATAGGAAATCTTTAAATCATAGGTTACCTAAAGGAAAGCAGTACCTACATGCAAATGTTAGTATGAATTATTAGAACACAAAAAGGTTATTCATGTGTTATATGTATGTATAGTCAGCATATTACATCGCTGCATTCCTATTCCTATTTTTGTTAGTATACGGAACCGAAAAAGTGTGCGTTACAAGCTGCACTACTATATACAATACAAAGTACATCCTTTTTTCGACTACGTCTTAGATTATAATGTCAAGTGATCGCTTGAATGTTGTACAATTTACTAAGGCCATCCATAACTTTTATAATGAAGCTTCATGCTGGTCCTGTTCCTATCCGAGACAATTGTTATCTAGGCAATCTGTGGAACATTTACCTTCAAATATGTTATAGTCACCTGGTCTGTTTCTCAGTGTGTTGGGCTAGTCAGACAATGTTTTGCCCTCGAAATAACTATTGGGTGACTTTTTTGCTAGTATCTTTTTGGCAACACTGTTTTTGACAGATGACGCGTGAATCGTGTCTTGTGTCATTGTCAAACTTGTTCAGTTTGGTCTATAATTTAACCATGAATCGACTTACGAACGAACAACGCTTGCAAATTATTGAATTTTACTATCAAAATTCATGCTCGGTTAAGAGAGTGCATCGAGCACTGCTTCCAATTTATGGGCAATTTGGTCGGCCTACTGAGGGAGCTACTCGGAAGCTTGTGACTAAATTTCGAACCAAGTTTACATTATTGGACATTAAACCACCAACACGCAGACGTAAAGTGAGGACTGAAGAAAATATTGCGGCTGTATCCGCCAGTGTTAGTGATGACCGTGGAATGTCGATTCGCCGCCGTTCGCAGCAATTGGGCCTCTGTTACTCCACTAAGTGGAAAATTTTGCGACAGCATTTGGGTGTAAAACCTTATAAGATACAGCTGGTGCAAGAATTGAAGCCACACGACCTCCCACAATGTTTCCAATTTGGTGAATGGGCGCTGGCAAAGTTAAAGGAAGATCCACATTTTTTTCGAAAAATTGTGTTCAGCGACGAAGCTCATTTCTGGTTGAATGGGTACGTTAACAAGCAAAATTGCCGCATCTGGAGTAAGACCAGCCAGAAGCATTGCAAGAGCTACCAATGCATCCCGAAAAAATCACTGTTTGGTGTGGATTATGGGCCGGTGGCATCATCGAGCCGTACTTCTTCAGAGACGACAATGGCCAGACAATGGCGAGCGCTACCGTGCGATGATAACAAACTTTTTTTTGTCCAAAATGGAAGAGCTGCACTTGGCTGACATGTGGTTTCAACAAGACGGTGCCACATGCCACACCGCACACGAAACAATGGCCCTATTGAGAGGCGAGTTTATCTCACTTTGGGGCCCCTCAATTGACCGCCTAGATCGTGTGATTTAACGCCGTTGGACTATTTCTTGTGGGGCAATGTTAAGGCTAATGGCTACAGGGATAAACCAGCAACGATTGACGTACTGGAAGCCAATATTGAAGCATTTATTCGTGAGATACAGGCCGATATGTTGGAGAGAGTGTGCCAAAATTGGACCTTGCGCATGGGTCATCTAAAGCGGAGCCGCTGCCAACATTTACATGAAATAATCTTTAAACATTAAATTATATCGACCGTTCTATCGACTCAAATAAAGATTTAATCGTTTTTTCAAATTTTTTGTGTTTTTTTTTTAAATCAAATCCTATACCTCTTAAAAAATCACCCGTTACAAAACAGCACTGAACACGGTAATACAGGCAGATGTCTCATTTGGAAAAACTTTTAGGAGGCCACTGGTCCTAGTTTTTAATACATTTTGAAAGTCAGAAATAGCCAATTTACATGCAAAATATTGTAATAATGACTATATTCGAGTGTTGTTGTGAAATGTAGGGTACCTGGAAGTATCTTCGAATATTGTGATTTGGTTTTTATGAATAGTTCTTTGAAGTTGATTTTCGAGACATAAGCAGTTTAATATTTAAAAAAGTGCGAAGTATGCCATCATCCACCCCTAAAAACAAGATGGAGGAGCGAAAATTTTAATGTCGACAAGGTTCGCAAATATGCTTTAAATATCCATTATCAAAATCCCAAAATATTTTAAGGGGTTATGCACGCGCTTGAACAATAGTTTATGATAACAATACCTCTAGAATGCTTTGAAATTCTATGAATGAATACTTGAAGAATATTTGAAAAGTTTGGCAACATTATATTTTATTGTTGAAATAAGATAGGGCAAAGTGCCATTTATTATCAGAATCGACTACTGCAGAAGTAAAAACAGCCAGCTGTCAGTTGGAACTGTATACCAGTTTGCATTGCCAGCCGGGTCACCACTGTGGCCTCTGGATGCGGCCGATTCTGGTGCTATATATTGAACAAACTAATAATAGCGCCAGATTCGGTGACATTTAGCTGACATCGGTCGATTCTGGTAATAGATGGCACTTTCTGCTGTCTTATTTCGATGTATCAGCTTCGTTCGTGGTCCACAAAGGTTCCTTTTTCTTCAAAACCCAAAAGAACATAGTCCGTATCGAAAAAAATAATTTTTGGAATGATTTTTGACACGATGGGCCTGACAACGTTTCGTTACAAGGGTTTTTTTTATTAATATTGCACAAAACGTCCCAACCACATGATTTTTCTGATTAGATGCGGAGATACTTCCTGGACTGGTTCGCTTGAATCGGTCTGGAGCATTTAGAGAAAGTAAAAAAATTAATGTATAATCTTAATAATTATATTTAACAATGTGAGAGGATTTCAGAGAACGTTCACTTTATGTAGTTGCGTTAATAAGACGTTAAAATGTTTAATTGCAACTCAAGAGATGCACGCGTTTTTAACAACCTTGTTTTATGTTCATTATAAGCATTGATTATTGTATTCTACCTGAATATATCCAACCTAATGCTATATTGCCGCGTCCACAAAATTAAATGAGATACCGTAGCGTCATTTATGAGAATTTTTCTTTATTCTTTATTTACTATTTGTACTTTGAAAAAGTCAGTGTTTCATAAATGGTGCTGTTTCCACCTCGTATATTATCATATAGTTTTTGGCTACAGCGACATCTATGGGATAATAGTAAATAAAGAAACAGCTGAGACAAATACTCATAGATGGCGCTACGGTATCTCATTTAATCTCTGATAACACTGATAAACACAGGATTTGGGACATGACAATTTTTGGGTGCATCTTATGTATTTTGAGACCCTTAAATCAAATCTGAATAGAATTTTTCTATCACCCACAGATATTCGGTAACATCTACTTTTATGAATTACAATACGCAACATCTCATATTGCTGCATTTCTCGGCGTTCATGCGATGACGCACACATATATATATATATATATAATGCTAAGTCCTGTCTCTTCCTGTTTATTATATGCGAGTTCTATGTTTAGAGAGCATATTGCGTTTATTAGCAGACTAATAGCAGCCGAGTCAGTTACGTTCTCTGTCTTGAAGGGTACTGAGATGTTCTGAGTACTGTTAATTTTTGTTAACAATTGTGATCGAGACTAGCTTTATGTGGGAACAGTTTTTGTTATCTGTGCGGAGAGCTAGCTTTTAAACCCAAAATCGTAATTTTACTCTCCTTTTGTTCAAAGCATGAGAACTTTATTTTGAAATTAAAGTTGGCGACCAAGGTAAACTATGGGCCCCTCATATATATTGTAAGACTTGTGTAACGTTGTTAACAGGTTAGTTAAGAGGCGACAATCGTAAAATTCCCTTGGCAGAGAGAACCGAGAGACCATACAACTGATTGCTATTTTTGCCTCACAAATATCAAAGGTATTGGACCACAATCGAACCATACTGTTAAGTACTTTAATTTACCATCAGCTTTGCGGCCCGTTAAGCATAGTGATGAACTCTTTGTCTCATTTCCACCAGAATCTTGGTCTTTGGATGAAAAAGTCAAATCCTCTGATTCTGAAAGTGATAGTATAGAAAGCGTAAGAATTTCCAATCCTTCGTTTGACCTGCCAAGCTGTTCAACAGCGCCGCATTTGATCACACAGAGCGAACTTAATGACTCAGTTCGAGAACTAAATCTGTCAAAATCCCAGTCAGAACTTTTAGCGGCAAGATTGAAGGGATGGAATCTTCTCCACGGTGATGCTAACATTACTTTTTACCGAAAACGGTAACAAGACCTCACACACTGTTTCCGTCAATAAAGGGAGTTGATATATTGCTCCGATGTCAACAATTTGTTTGACGCGTTAGGATAGAAACATGATCCAAATGATTGGCCTGTTCATCGATTCCTCTAAGCTTAGTTTAAAAGCGGTATTGGTACACAACGGTAATAAATATCCATTTGTACCTGTAGCGCACGCAGTTCATATGCAGGAATCATATGAATATATGCGAGTTTTGTTAGAGCATATCTGTTATAATGAATATGGATGGGCCATATGTGCAGATTTAAAGGTTATCGCCCTTCTTCTTGGAATGCAACTGGGATATATCAAATCTTGTTGTTTTCTTTGTGAATGGGACAGTCGTGCGCGAGATGGTCATCAGGTATTATCTCCGTGCCTCAAAAACATTGCTCATGAACCACTAGTGGATCGAAATGGCAGGGGGTTTCTGCATTTCAAACAAACATTTTCGAGACTTAGTGAGGCATAAATTAAAGAGGACAAATTTGTGGGTTCATAAATATGGAAAATCATGAAGGGTGATGTATTTGACAGTGCTCTAAATGAAAATGAATTAGGAGATTGGAATGCTTTTAAATCAGTTACTGCAAATTTTTTAAGCAATGTGAAGGCGGACAATTATAAAGATATTGTGAGTGAACTAATTAATGCTTTAAAAGGAATCTGATGTAACATGTCACTAAAAATTCTTTTTTAGGATTCTCATCTCGATTTTTTTCCGGAAAATTTAGGTGTGGTAGTGATGAACATGGTGAATGGTTCCACCAAGACATTTCTGCTATGGAAAAACGGTATTAAGGCAAATGGAGTGTCAATTTGCTTGCTGATTATTGCTGGACATTGTTAAGAGATACTTCAGGAGCAACACTTCGCCGTAAAACATCGACAAAAAATCGAATGCTATTTCCGACATTTTCGGTACGTTTTACATAACAACACCTTGTTTTGTCCATGTAACAAAAAATTATTTTAATTTTGTTCACCAGTTTTTTTTTTGTCCCGAAAATATAGCATTGGATCTTCAGGTATAACACGTTAATCAATGTTATGAGATAAATATAGTGTTGTATTACGGTGTAGTGAAAGTATCAACAAACTTTAATGGAGGTAACAATACTTCTTGGTACGTCTGGAATTATAGAAAACCTTTTTGGGAGCTGGAGCCGCTGAAAAGCTTCATGTGAACTTGCAGAAAGATCGTAATCGTTAGTAGGGCTTCAACAATGTATGCTAACCAAGGAGGTATATTAAATTCCAAATTAGCATCCCAAAATAGATCAAGGTTAATATTGTCAGGCTTAGACTCGAACTTTAAAGCGAGTAGTTAATTCTTCTAATTATATGACGCATAGGTTTCCGAAATTTAAAAATTCGAAGAATCAATAACCTATCAACTTACATTGAAAACAAATCCTAAGACGGCGTTCTTTACTCCCGATACTGCTTCCACTTTCCTTTTGTCCCTCAAGATACTCCAGTCTGTCATTTCCTGCAAAAAGAAAAGACAGTTATCGTATAGATATTAAAAGCATATACTTACTAAGGAACGCTCTGTTTGATAAGAGTTACATATATAGCCTCTTTTATAAGCACTTGTTCACTAGTTACTTGGTTAACAAGGTGAATGAGGCCACTCCCTCAGTAAACAAAGCTTCCCACGCCAAGATATCTATTCCAAATTAAATGTAGTAGTAGTAGTGGGATTTGATGTCTGGCAACTGAGCAGCCAAACATTTTGTTTGAAACTGAAAAGACTGATGAATGCATCAACTACGATATGGCCAATCAAATATGCCAGCTGTGATTAATGAGAAGATGTATAATAGTTCTTCAAGCTTATTTTGGCTATTTCCTAGGCAACTCTTCACAATCACGTGTGGGCCTATAGTTCACGTCTGCTATGTTCATGTATATCAAGGAAACTTGATATGCATACTTCTAACCTAGAAGTTTCGGCCAGTATATCACGACGGCGCTAATACATGGATGTGAAGTAAAATTGAACCCGTATCCTGTACGAAACAAACAACTATTACAAGTAAATTTCCTCTTAACTATGGTTAGAGCGCAGAAGCTCTAGATAGTAATTAAATCGTAGCGAAAGTTGATTTTACATCCTTCGTCTAAGGAAGCTGGAGAAGTAATTACTCAACAATTAGATATACAGAATATGTAGACCTCCTAAGCTATGTAGGAAGCAATAAATTACTTCACATGTATCCTCTACATAAAGTCTTTGAGAAGCGTCAATCGTAAATGGGTTTTGAATACATCATACGGCAATATCAAAAATAATGTATGTTTCCTTTCTTTAACCCCTATCATCCCCAATACGATGGTTACACTTGTCAACTGAATAAACTGAGATTTTCTACGCCCTTTGTAACATTGACGAAAGGCGGGTATGTCTTGAGAGGTTGATTCTTCAGCCGTTAAGCACCGATAGAATGTGCTGTTTTACTTCAGACGCCAATTGGCGTTAGCTCGATAAATTTTGCTAATCAGTTCTTGTTTTTTGGATGTTACAGGGTATCGACATCGCTGAAAACGAATACACTTATTTCTCTCTGGTTGTCCGGCTATTGTTTATTCGGTATTCCTTTCGCTCTATATAATCCGGAAAGTGCCACTCAAGTTTTAATGAGACTTTTACACAAAATTAATACGATGACAAGGACAAACAAGTCTTCACAAAATCGTCATACATCGATATTGACATACCTTGGTTATTTCAAATGAACAGAATTTTCTAATTAGTTCTTCAAATTATCAGATAGTCATTTGTTTCTAATACCAGATTTACCATAAAATCATGTTTTATTTTTACTGACTCCTCTACAAGATAGCTTAGTCAAATTTTCAATTCATCGCCAGACTTGTTTTTTCAGCAAACAACAAATAAAACGTTTCACTAAAACAATCAACAAAATTCAATAAAAACAGATCACAAAAACTATATAATGTATCGAAGTGAAAATGTAAGTTATACAGGGTGCGGCTGAGAGGACTGACGTTTTTGGGATGGGTAGTACTCTCCGCCTCCGTCTACGAGAGAGGTGGGGGGGGTGCCGTTTGACTCGTGAGATCCTAGCATTATTTTACCAGTTGTCTTTATGGAGCCTTGAACGGTGGAGCACCGCGTTTTCGCCTATGATTGTTTCGTCCGAAATAATGATTCAGTCATCGTCGTACAGCGTGAGTTTCGTCGCTACTTCAACATTCATCGGAATAGAGCTATTCGTTCTCGAAACACCATCCTTCGTTGGGTTGAATCACTTCATAGGCGTGGTGAACTGATCAACAGAAGACCAAGAGGAGCGCCGCGAACAGTTCGAACTCCTGAAAATGTTGAACGTGTTCGACAGGTCTTTCTTCGCAGTTTGACTCGATCTGCCCGGAAACATGCTGCTGCACTTCCCCTTAGTGGTCGTTCTGTAAGCCGTATTTTGCATATGGATCTCCGCTTTCACCCCTACAAATTGGCCATTGTGCAACAGTTACAGCCCGGTGATTATGCACAACGAATGAACTTCGCACGTGAGATGGAAGCCCTGATCGATCAAAATGAGAACCTCATTTTGTTTATGAGTGACGAAGCCCACTTTCACCTAAACAGCATGGTTAAGCAGCAAAATTGTCGTTATTGGGCTAATGAAAATCCGTTACACGAAAGACCGCTGCACAGCCCAAAAGTAACGAGAGAGCGATGTTGGAGAGAGTCTACGCGAAATTCCAAGAACGTCTCCAGCACTGCATCAACGATTTCGGCCACGACATGCCTAATGTGATTTTCCACACTTGACTGTCTCAAATGCTAACAATTTTATGATTTTTTTAAAACCGTCCATCCTCCTGCCGCACCCTGTACAATATAATAACTCAGATGATAAAATGTACTTATTTAAAAAGAAAGTTAGTTGTGAACTATCCATGATAGTTCGTGCTGTCTATAGTTAGCATCGACCTCCCAACACTTCGACAGCATCGGTTTGGCAACATTAACTTCACCGACATGAGATACAGTCTAACATGTCATTCAATTATGCTCGGTGCAACTCGTTGATCCTAGCAGCCGAATCCCTAGCATAGGATGAATTTTAATAAAGGTTTATGAGACATCTTCCATACTCTGCGGAATCCCATGCTCAATTAAGCTCTGTTGTCCCGGATGAACCATCCAATAGAACAGAGTCGGTGCACCCGAAGTAAAGTCACCACCAACTTTGGTTTTTTCAGGTTTATATCATTACCGCTCTAGAACTATCAGGAGCATGCGCAGAAGAAACCGACGTGTTTGAGTTTCTGTTGGATTACTATCGGATCGTCTTAGAACTAAAATTTGGTGTTCAAGTTATATCCTGGTTCAGTTCTAGGATAGTCGAGAATCGTTCGTGCTTTACTGCTGGGACCATTTTTGAACTGATTTTTCACGCAGTATTGCAGTAAATGATGTTCACCTTTTTGCGGTTTGAGAAGTGTTTTTTATTTGAAATTCAAATGAAAAGTGGCCGAATGGATTCAATGCAGATCATTCTTGATTCTGATTCGTCATCATCATCGTCGTCTGACAGTGACGATGAACTTGAACCGGTTACTCCCAACTTATTTTTTCCAGAGCTTCTCAAAGATGTGAGCAAACATAACAATTTCTTTGAGGAAACTGTACCTTCCTATACCGACAAACAGCTTGTTGAGCATTTCAAGTGGGATATTTTTTATCCAGCATATCAACTTTTTAAAGACCCAGGGCCACGTGTAGTACTAAACAAAGTAGTACTTGTTGCCGTAGACCTTGGTTCGGGCCGTTAGGGTTTTGGCAAACTTCTGATAGTCCACGGACTCTTCATGACCGCCTTTACGCGTTCAGTCTTGCACAGTTCCAGAACTGTTCTGTGACAGTACTGAATTTAAAACTCGAAAATAGTTAGTAGACAGCCTCAGACTGTCGAGCTTGGAGGTACGACTCAATTCTTGAACGCCGTAGAATGGAATGCTCCATGAGGAATGATCCCTGTAGAGGAGTGAACTTAGTAGATAGGTTTGTGAATCTACCGATTTTACGCAAAGCAACAAATTTTCCTCTTTAATCCTTGAATGTCTTCGTCTCTAAAATGAGACTGATTTTCTTCTGGTACTTATCAAGGGAATGGTTCAAGAGAGCGACATTTCTATCATGGAAACATTAGAACAGAGAATCCCGAAAAGGACGACGGTAAGGCGGAAAGTTATCTGTGAGACAATGGAAGACTAAAATCTACTGTTAAGAAAGAATCTTATCTTTCTACGTAATGTCTTGCATATCCAATGAACTTGATCCAACGTTCCTCTAGCAGTAGGATTCCTTTTTGGAAGTGGGAGTTTGGAAGGCTGTCATAATATTCATCTACGACCACCTCACATGAAACACATGGAAGGCGGAGAGTGACAGATTGGGATAGCAGGGGTGGTGATGAATCAAGTCTTACCCCAAATCATGGAGCTCTCCCATTGCTAACATGCCTTTGTGAGAAGGTGCAATGTCCTGCCGACGGACGATATTTTTTTCTTCAAGCCAGACCTCTTCACACGTTTGCCTACCCTTTACGAAGTTATCAATTCTTCGCATCCCAAGAGGCAATGACCAAGACCTTTCCGGTAAACGCAAGCGGCTTCTCTCTCTTTGGCGCTAAACCTCCGGGATCCACCCACTGCTTTCACTGCTGTCTTTTTTCTGACGTGTAGTGGCGGACCTATCTCTTAACCATGCTGACGAATCGGCGCACAAAATCGGTCGGGTCTCTATTGAACTGCTCCAAGTACAGCTGCGAAAGCAGTTTCCGTATTCGCACCCACCATACGCAGATCATCCTCATCATCAGATCTTTGTGCAAGATGTTTCGCACCCCTCCTTCTGATATCCCCGTTTTCAGAGATATCTCACTCACCTACACATGCCTACCGGCCAATACCAAACCGCGGACCTTTTCGATGGTTACAGGCGTGGTTGCGATTTTTGCTGCCCATCAGGTAGGTGGTCTCCAAGGCGCCACATTTGGCTTCAGCTGTTCATTTTTTAACACTTGCAACCAAAGGAGCATTATCTCTGTAGACTTTTATTAGTTTTCATAGTTCATAAACACTCGAAATTCAAGTTAATCCGTCTTAATGAAAACCAAACAAGACGTGCATTTCAAAAATTTGACAAACCTGGCCTCAACTGGGTCAGTACACTGCATTTCATCGCGGTGTGTAGGGTCGTACTGGAGTTTATACCACACGGAATTTGTTATTTTCGTATTTTAGTGTCGATTTTGATGATGCAATCCGCAAACCACACAAACACCATAAATGCACAAAGCGACAGGGTGAGCAGCGAAAGTCTGGCGGATTCGTATGGCAGGACTAACGCATGACGGTGTTGTGAAGCAAAGCTCTGAGGAGCAAAATCCTCTGGCTCATTGGCAGAAAAGACTGTTGTAGACCAGCCAGACATCCTTTACCGAACAGCAT